GGAGGGGAGAGGAGGGGAGGGGAGAGGGAGAGGAGAGGAGGGGAGTGAAGAGAAATCAGCACAGGGTTAGTTAAAGGAATAGAAAGCTGCAGCACATTAAAAAACCAAAACAGAAAAATAGGCAGGAAAATAAGGAGTATACACAAAAAGAAGTAAATAGGGAAGAAATAAAAAGAAAAGAGAAAAGTGAGATCATTCACTAGTGCTGAAGTACCAGAGTGGTAGAGGGAGCGTGTGTCCGTGCTGTCACTGCCCAGGGTGGCTCACTGGTGTGTGAGCTGGTGCTGGTGCCCATGGGTGTGTTTGCACAGCCGGACAGCCCCCACAGCAGCCTGATGCCACGTGCTACAAGACTGTAGGCAAAGAGCAAAGGACAGTCACAGCCAAAGAGGCAGTTACCGCATAAAGTCAGCATGTGGGTCTTCAAGCATATTGTTTTAGGCAGCTGCAGGAGACAATGTGTCCTGAGGGATGTTCATGGCCTTGAAGTTACTTTGTGGCTCAAAGGCCACCCTTAGAAAGCATCATTGTGATAAGTTCAGCACCACCTTTATGCGATTTGCTTCTTGGTCCACTGGGGTACTATCGGTAGCCAATGTAAACTGTTTTGGAGGCCTGGGAAAATGCTCAGTTCTGATGTCCTCTCATCCTAGAAAAAAGCAAACAAAAGAGGAGAATTAGAGACTAATTCAGATTTACCCCAATGTTATTATGTGTTTCTAGTATTTTATCAGATTTTGACCTAATTAAAAGCATTTTTTGAAATCAGTGAATTTCCATTTGAAGTAAGAAACACCTACATTTTTAGTAACTACTTATAGTCTTGTAATTCCACAAAAAGCTTCTAGGACTGGCATCCTTTTTGGGATGAGAAAAAATTTCCTAAGGAAATAAAGTAAAATAGAAGGAAATCTATTGGTAAAGAGCTGATTTAACTTCCTGGCCTTTTGCCCACACTGACAATTTCAGAGAGTGTCTCGTAGTATTTTCTTGAAAATGGGTAAGGGATACAGACTAGTAAGAATAAAAGCAAGAAGGAGCAGCTGTGAGATGGAGAGGCAGCAGATGCTTGTTTACACAAGCAGCTAATTCAAAATGAAAAAAATAAAAGGAAAGAAGAAAATTCTGAGTCTAGTGAAATAATTGTTGTCTTGGAGATTATGGGAGGTAAGCATACCTTTTATGGAAATATTTATTGCCATTCTTTTTGTGAGACTAGACAGAGTAAAAAGGCTTTAGTTTACTTTAATGATGCATTTCCCTCCTTTCCCTTTTTATATAATGGCAATTCTTAAAGCGTTTCCTTCTCAAGAAATGTTCCTCATTGTTTGCTCACAAGACATAGAAGCAGAGTATCTGCTGAAGGGAGAGAAAGGGGAGAAGAGAATCTTGCTGCTGGCACATGGCTTTTTTCCCTTCCTGTTTATCATGGTAAAAAGGCCAACAGTACTGTCTTTTGCGCTTGTGTGTTAAATGTGTGTTCAGCAGTACTTAGTTTTGCTATTCTAAATGGTTCAATCAGTTGGTACCTAAGAGCTTGAAATTTTACAGGAAATAAAGACAAGGGAGTTCTTTATATGCTCTAGAGGAAGTCCCTTTTGAATGCAGATACGCTCAAGAAAAAAAATTAGTGTCTGATTTTGGACTTCCCAAACACCAGGATGTGGAATAGTCAGGACTGGGGTGTTACTCTGTGTCTAATTAAAATAGGAAAATTAAATTAATAACTTTATTTTCCAGAAATGATTCATGATCTAAGTAGTGGTTGTGTCTTACATGCATTTCTTGCATGTCAAGGTTAAAATCCTAGCAGCTCTGCCAGTTTTTTCCTAATTTAAATTAAACAAATATCGCTATTATGACACATGAATATGTTGTTTTTCAAAGATTGAGGTTTATTAACACTAAAGACATCAAGAAAAAAATCAGTTCAGAACACAGTCACATATTCCATACATAGGCAATTCACACATTCACAAGGTAGACCTGATCACGTTTTCATCATGAGCAGGTTATGTTATTTTAATATAGGGTTTTTTTAAATTTTTGTATTATGGTTGTGTGCCAAGCCAGGTTTTATTGATTTATTATTTCCATTGAATTATATAATACAGTAGCAGCAAAGATACAGTCCTTGTATTGCTGATATGAATATCTCAGGGCTGCAGAAAACACATGAACATCCTGTGTCTCTTGTAGATCTGTGCAGACTGATCCCCACCTGAGCCTGTCATTAATCTGTTCTGTGGTGGGTGTGTATGTGAAAGGAAAAGTGCTCCTCTGCAAATTGTGTACCTGGTATGTATGTGTAACCCTTACTGCCTGTAGGTGGACACTTGTGGTTATTCTTCCCCTAATATTCTGGGAACACTTGAGAAAGATATGCATCTATTCATATGATAAAATACAGCCCTAACTACTGTTTAGCTAAAGACAAAAAACAACCCTAGTGTCCATATAATCCTATTTAAAACAAGCCATGAATAATAGGATGTGAAAACAAAAGTGGCCTCATTTCCTGGTGTCATTTAGAGTGATGCCAGCCAGGGGCTGCCCTTGAAGATCACCAGGGTTCAGGTACTGCCCATGAAGGAAGGGACTGTCATCACTGCTCTGCTTGCTTCAGATTCAGCCATCATAACTTTGTCTACTTCTATGTGGTATGAAAACAGTGACAGTAATTTGTGCTTGGTGCTCATCAGACACCCTGTAATTGGGGGGAGAGGTTAGGGAATCTGATTTAATCGATGAGCTTCACCAACAGGCCAAGTTCCCCCGGGGGGTTGGTTTACATTCAGCAGTATTTTCCCAGGTAAGGCATGAACGAGTGGTGAATGTTGCTTGCTGTTGCTTTAGCTGCCCATTACTCAGGACAATAGACAGCCTGCAATCCGGCTGCACCACTTGGCACTTGGGTTCAAAGGGCCTTGGTTTCATATTAGTTGAATAGAAAAGGTCAATAAGAGGTGAGAGACAATTGAATGTGAATAAATAATACAGGAATGAGAGCTGCAAATGTTTGACTCATCTCTGCTGATGTGATATTGATCTGAACTAGAAATGTCAAACCCTTCTCCGCCCAGAGGTTTAGAAGTGCTTCTGATGTGTGTCAGTAAGAGATAAGAGTCAGACCAAGAATATATTAGCAGATGCCACAGGGAATAAAGCATAAACAACCCAAGAACAATATTTCCTGTGTGTCAGCTACAAATAAGGTGTTCTTACTTGGCAGAGCACGTTCTGCTTATGCCTGATCCCTCAGGGCAGTCTGGGTGTGCCAAACACACTTCTGGAAGGAGAGGTCAGGTACAAGGAGGCTGTATAAGGATGAGGTGACAGGTTCACTGGACTGCACCTGTGCCCTCACGTGGAGGGGTGGGGGAAAGGATTGAAGTCAATGGATATGCTCCACACTGAATTTCCACCTGATGTATTTTCTGACTGGCCTTCATATTTTACCCTGACAGTGTCCAACTGGATTCATAAAGGATTTTAGGCATCATGCTGCCACTTCCAATTAAAGAGTCTTCAAAGCCTCTGCTATGCTATGACTTAACCCTATAGAAGCACCTCCCGAACACACTGATTTTCCTTCCTGTAAATTACTTTACATTTTTCCATTAGACACGTGTGCAGCTTGACTTTACATTTGACAAGAATTGTCACTTCTGTATTATGCTTATTCTTTGATCTCAGATGAATAAAATCAGCTTAATTTGCCTAATGCATAAAGCCTTGCACAAAATGCAGTCAGATCACAAAAGGACAGGGAAAGGAAATCCTGTAGCCTGGAGGTTAAGGCATTTTCCATGACAAAGCAGAGTTACTTCTGCTGCAGTGATTATTTCTGTATTTTATATCCACTGGAAAAAAAAATTGTCAGGAGAGACAGATGCAGAAACCCAACTAAGATTGACTGATCTTTTCCTCAAGCACAGAGTTTTGCTTCACATCCCTACTCCACAGTCTGACAGAACGATTTGAACATACATCTCTGACATTCAAGTAAGCATATTAATCACTGAGCTGTCTGACTTTTTTCCTTTTTCTTATTTAGAGAGACTCACTACATACAAGTTTTCTGATGTATTGGAAAGCAACCAGTGGGGATTTGGACTAAACAAACCTCTTTTCCTTCCTTCTTCCCTGACAGGAAGGGCGTCAGTACGTCTCCATCTTCAAACAAGCTGGGAACATGAGACACTTGACAGAGATTGTCCCTTTGAAGTCAATACTAAATTGAGGCCTGTCTGCAATATTGAATTTGCATTCCAAAGGAAAGAGCTCTCACAGAAATATCTAGAGAAACAGTGCTTTTGCTGAAATGTTCTGTGTTAGTCTCTTGCTATATCAGGACCAAGATGGCAATGTTGCTGCTGTAAAACCAGTGAGAATTATCTACTTTTAAATGTATTGGTTTTAGTCTTACCCATGATTTGCACCAGGGTACAAAAAGAGAGATTTGTATTCTTCAGCATTTAAATATTAAAGGGAAAAAAATGAAGAATTTCGATGTCAGCATAAGAAAACTTAAGGAAATTAACGTACTTAATCTCAGCTAAAATTTCAACACTATATTCTAGCAAAGATTTCCAAAGATTCCCAAGATACTGTGAAGTCACAAGTAATTGTGACTTCAAGTCACTGCTCAGAACAGATAGCAGTGAAACAGGAATGGAGATGGGTTGGTGCTTTTGATTTTGCCAGACTCCTTTGGTGGGAGAGAAGCAAAGGAGAGAGAAGATAAACCTTCAGACTCTGAATCCTCTTGCCAAACTGGTTGTATTAGTCACTACAGAGAGAATTTATCCTGTCCTTCTGACACTGTAAAGATTAACTTCCTAGTTTAATTATAATTCGCCATGCAACATACACAAGGTTTTTTCTCTTGTTTTTTTCTTTTTGTTTTTAATGTGAAGGGACTATGCCATAAACACAAGTCTTTAACAGTCACTAGATTTTTAGTTTCTCAGGAAAAAAAAAATAAACAGGTTTAAGGAATCTTAAAAACTTAAATTACTTCTTTCTAGGCCAAGCAAATATTACATGAAACACCCTTCCTTGAAAAGTAGACTTTATGTAGACCTTTAGATTTGTATAGTTACACGTATAAATACATGAAGCTATGCAATGACAGTTCAGAGGTGTGCTTGAATGCATTCTTTGCTGATATGCTGGATTTACGACAACTGGACCAGAGGTCTGTGAAGCTGTTCTTCTCATTCCCAACAGGATTTAAATGCTTCTGCTGTTCAGTAGCCTTGTATGCTTGTCACCATTAATGTTCCCTCTAATTTATTTCTCTGTGTGTGACAAATGACCTCCTGAATGCCAATGTGAAACTTGTAGCCCTAATTCACAAAATGCTGAAAATGGGACAGCAAAATAAATGTACGTGATCCTCTTTTTTTGATATTCTGGGGCTCACTAAGCTTGTGATGTAAGTTTCTACAGATTTATGGCTTCTTCATCACATTAGAAAGTAAAAATAAGTTATTTTTCAGTACATTGTGTGCGTGTGCAGACCCTCAAATAACACGTCCGAGAGAACACAGCTGCATTACTGATAGACACCTCTTGTGCAAAAACCTCAAACAGACTAAAAATGCATCCTCCCAGCCAAGTCTTCACTTTGATTTCTGTCATTCCAGTAATAGGTAAAGAGAGAGAATGAGAGAGAGAAGAGAGAGGCATTCAGAGTATTCAGAATTACCCTTTATGTGACTGGGACCAGTAGTGCACTGTCTGCTCAGGAGGAAAATCCCCAAGAGAGGCAGTTTGCCATTCTAGATCTATCTCTGTGCTCCAGAGTTCTGGGCAAAAGATATGAAGGAGGCTGATGGAAGTGGATTTTGGAGCTGTGAGAGCACTGGAGCATCTGCAAGATATGTCACATCTCAGCATACCCTGTCCCAGTCCCTATGTTTGCAAGCTAAGGTTTTGCAGATGGACTTACAGGAATCCTGAATTTGAGTTGATCTGAGGTGTTACCAACCTCCATGCACATCCTCACTTTTGCTCACTGCCTGGGCGTGAACAGCTCAGGGGCTGCTACAAATTCAGGGGTGCTGGTAATACCCCTGTCACATCCAGATGTCCTGGTCATTGCAGTGGTCACTAGTAAACCTGTTTGTGGCTGCAGCTGTGCCTGGCACAGACTGCTCACTTCATGGTTCTTCTGTTAGGCACAGCTGAGAGGTGGGAAGCCCATTGCTGTGTCAAGGGGCTACATGCAGTGTATAATACATCTCAAACAGTCAAGCATACAAAAAAACTTTCCATGAGTAAAATTTTATGGCTCCAGTGATGACATTAAGTGAATTCAAAGAGTGCAGGCATGGGTGAAATGTCTTCATTCTAAAGCCTGAATGAAGAAAACCATTTTGGAGCCAAGTACCGATCTTTTGCTATAGTACCATATTCTCTAAGGTGACTTATTTGACCCCAGTTTGTACTCCAGGGTGTGGTTTCTAGAATATTGTGATGACCCACCCTTAAGGGGAAGGAACTTCTCTGGGCCTCTACAGTTATGCTTAGTGTACATAAGCAATACATCCTCTGTCTGAATTCGCAGGGTCTCCATGCATGTAGTCTGTGCCACTTAACAACCATGTGTGTCTGACAAGCAGGGTAAGGGGCTGAGTAAGCAGGGATTCTGGAAAAACAATACTTGAACACTGAATTAAAGTAGTCTATCTAAGTGTGTGGCCTTAAGAACACATGTGTAAATATACATACATGGAAAAGAAAATCCTTACGCCCATTAAAAACAGTGGGAATTGTAACACTAGATTCAGAAAGTCTTGATTGCCATCTGGGGCATATTGGAAAGTATAATTAATGGTTTCTGGAAAAGACATTGAAATAGAAATGTCAAAATAAAATATCCTTCAAAAAAAAAAAAAAAAAAAGAAAGAAGCATTTTTATTTTAGAAGAATGCATCTGAAAAAAAAAATCTCTTAAATTGACATTTTCTTGTTACTATCCACATCAGAAATGAAAAGTGGCTATTATCCAGTGACACAGAAGTAGGTTACTGAAATTACTGGAGCTTTAGTGTTCCAGCTTGCCTGACACTAAGTCTGATGTCTGTTCTTTAGATAAAAGATTTTATATGGCTGTATAGAGTAACAGGATAGAGTAACAGGCAACTGTCTTATTATCTTCAGACTAGGTGCATATGCAGATTTTAAGCATTTAAAAACCCTATCTATACATTCTGGTTATTGATGATAACCTAAGTCTCTTCTGCTCCATTGCCCTAATGTCATAATTCTTAAATTGGATAGTCTCAGGATGTCCCGCCTATGTCTAGGTAGGAAATTGACCCTAATTCTCATTCCTGCAGTTATCTGCCTGATGATGCTGGATGAGTGTGGAGCACTATGCACTGCAGTTACCTGTGATAAGTTCAGCTGAAAAAAGCATGCAGTTATTTTTCTAGAGCTATCTGCTTGGTTTATACCTTCAAAAATAAACTATAAAGAGAGGAGACAGACAAGGGTTGCATTTATTGTCTTGATTTTATGTGTATCAGCCCTTGGCAGGACTGAATGACAATGAAATCAAAAGTCATAAACAGAGCAAGAACAAAGATTCATCATATAAGCTGTTTCTTTTGTTCTTTGTTCACAATTCTTGTGAATACAAAGTTAAAACACTAAGCAGCTGTTATCTCCTGTTTGTGGCTTGGAGCAAAAGCCCAGCAAACTCCAGAATTTTACAGAGTTCCACATCAAAATCATGAGTCAGGCCTGTCCTGATCCAAACAAAACTCACTCTTTCCTCAAAATACTGATGCATATGGAGCAAATTTTACTTCTGTGTCTTTCTTTTGACTTTATAGGTTGGGTGTACTGATGTACTGATAGCACCATAAACATTTTTGGTTATCTCCTCTTTCCTTAGCACAGTCTGAAACCCTTAGCAGAATCCTTATGGGCAAACAATAGTATTCCCCTTGAGGAATACATTCTGTTGCAACCGTGTTATCCAGTTGTCATTCTATTTGTCTTTTAAGTTGAAAAAACATAATTGCTGTATAGTTTTTTCATAATCTTTAAAAGGACTGTGAATAATTCACAAACCTGTTGAGACCAAAGGCAGCTGTACTGATGGTTTGTGAGGTGTCAGAGAGAAACCATACCTTGCTTTCTATGCTTAGAAAGCAAACCAAAGAGTCATTCAGGGTGAAATCATTGCTTTAGCATGGTCATGTTGAAAGTTGTTTAAGAGCACATGTTGTAGTTGGATGAAATGGCTGTGAAAGCTTTAACCTATAGATCTGCAACCCTTATGCAGCTGGTCCTAGAAATCTGTGTCCTTTGAAGCAAAGTTTCTGCAGGTATCTAAAAGTTTATTGCTGGGTGATGGTCCCAGACCAGTTTCCTAAACTGTTGCAAATTCTTTTAAAAGTAAAGTGGAGGAAAATACTGCTTTTTAATTAAAAAAATTAAAAGGCATCATCAGAGAGAAAGGAGACAGAGAATATCTGTTGCCTTAGTAGAAATGCATTGCAACAGAACAGAATTCTAAATGCCAAGTGTCTCAAATACCAATATAAACAGATTTCTCCAGAGATCATAGGCAGATATATTAGCTAAAGGACTAAAGCACTGTTTCTGGAAGATGCTGAATTTCCCTCAACTGCCTTTGAACTCAGTGGGAAAGCTAAGGGTGAGGGCAGGAGAAATTATAAACATATTGGATAATGACTTTCATCATCTTGCTTCCTAAAATGCACTTTGCATTTCTTTTTGTCTCTAATAACTTCTAGACTAAAGCTCAGGGAAAGGGTAGAATATTAAAATATCATCCAATTTATAATTGATTATTAAAGTAAATTCACAGATGACCTTGAAAAATAAATAATCTAGCAAGCTTATAAAAAAGGAGGACCCAGTCATTCTGATTAAGATCAGAGCAGGTGATAAAAGAGCAATGTGGTGAGAGTAAAAGATGACAGAGAAGATTAAAAGCACGCAGTATATGAAAGGATTTCTTCAGGAATTTCCTCTTCCCTTGCATCCTGACAAAAGTCCACAGATTCAAGTTGACAGTATAAATATATTATAAATTCAGTGTCTGGTCATCATATAAAGCAGGCAATTTAAAATTCTGTCAAAGTATTATCAGCTCAGATTTTTGCATATTAGAAGGAGAGTCTTTCTATAAAAATGTAACCCAAATTCTTAAACATTCAAGAATCTAGTGTTTATTTCTAAATTTATTTTCCTTGTCTCTTAAAGCAAACTTTTATTGTTATTCTACCTTGGCAAAGACTGTGAGGAATAACAGAGAGGTGGAGGATTGTGAGAGAAATGGATTTCCTCAACATTGTTCAAAGCAGGATAAAACTGCATGTCCTTAAATGATTAATATTGTTTTTAAAATATGTAACTTCAGGATTTTTCTTCAAATAAGATAAGCATCTTCAAATGTCTCTTTGTGGCATATCTGGAAGGGACTGACTAACATTGATGGATTTGTATGGTTTAGAAGTTTAGACACTTAAATGAATGGAGAGAGAAAAATTTTGAAACCAGATTCAGATTCATAGACTGAAATGGAGTCTTGTGGAACTGAAGAAGAAGGGGAGCTGGGGACAGAACAGCTGTAGTGCAGATGCCTCAGCAATCTTACTCAGACACTTCTAAACTTCCTTACACTGACAAAACTGGCTTCTTGACAAAACATTTAAACTTTTAAAGTAAGCAGGGAAAACTTCAGCTGACATGAAATGGTTGTGCTCTGATTTCATGTATTTGCCATGTGACTGCAGAGGGGAAGTATTTCCAGTTCTGAGTCCTACAGTTCCTTACTAGTGATCCCCAAGGGCAAGAAGACAGCTGTTTTCAAACCATAGAAGCTATGTTGAGACCTACCTTCAGGGAAAAACCTTGAAAGTTTAGTGCTGACTTCCATAACCTTCATGTCAGATGTAATAATGCAGTACTGTATAACAATAAAATAAAAAAAAAACATAAGCAGTAGGCATATGTCTTATTAAAATGAACAAAACACTGCACTAAACATACAATTATCTTGCTCAAGGTATGATGAATGACAAATTATTTTTATGTTTCTTAATGTATGTCTTGCGGTTTTTCCATTAAATATGTAAAATCCAAAGAGAACAGACAATAGTTTTGCAGAAGTGAAAACTTTGTTTCAAATCAGAAACAGTATACCTGCTGCAGTGAATTTTAACCTAGTTTTAATCCTCTGTGGTCAGACAAAATCACTATATAGCTACAAGGGTGGGAGAGGCACAGGGACTTACATCTGTGGCTGAAACGTCAGAACAGAAAATAATCTGTAGATGATGGCATGTCCAAGACTCAAGGCAAGGTTTTGTCAGATAGAACTGTGAATGCATAAATGTGGGTGACCAAGGAAAATGTTTTAGTCCTGAAATAGCACCACTGTCACTTAAAATTTTTATGTCAATATTGTCCCTAATTAACTGGAATCATTATAAAAACAAAAGTAGCAGAGCCAAACATCAGACTGTTGTAATTCTCTGGGACTTTCTCGACTGTTAGTTATTAAAATTTATTTAATTACAGAAGTGCATTCAGTTGTTATTAAGCTTCACTTGGTTTGCTCTTTGCAGGTGCATCTATCCTTCTCACATTAGACTAAATAAGAAAACACAAGGTTTAATATTAGATTTGATATTGTTTTAGGGTTTTTTTAGTTGATGACCATAAAGAGTTCTGCCTATGGATTTTGCAGAAATTGTTTGTTATTCCATATTTTTTAGCTAGCATAATATTATTTGATAGTGAGCTATTTTATTTTTCTCTGTGTCAGTTAATGATGTGGTTTCATGCTGTGGTTTTAATTTTAGAAAAGATACACAACCGAACAATCTTGTCAAATATATTACTTAAGCAGGCAGATAGTGAAAATTAACTTTATGGTTAGTAACTCATTACTATTCTCATGTCCTTCAAAATCAAATCACTTTAAATTGTTTACTTTCATTGAATATAATAATTGCATTTAACAGACCTACACATTCAGAAGAGTCCAAGCAATTTCTTCTATGTTACTTTATTATGCAGTACATAGTAAAAGCAATTTATTACTGGCACAGGTACATCACACTCATTTGAATGTCACACCCACTCCCTTGAACTCTCTCTTTTTTTTTTTTTTTTTTTTGCTTTTGAAAAGGGAACACAGAAACACATATTATCTTGTTCAGTATCCTGTTTCCAACAGCTGCCAACACCAAACACTTCCAAGGGGCAAAAAAGACCCTTCAGTTAAATACTAGTGAGTCTATTGCAGAGATTTCTGCAAAGCCTACCTTGTTGGACTAGATGATGTGAGCTTCGACTCAATTATCTTTGAGAAGACGTCTTCCAGTCCAAATCTTTCTATGATTCTATGAATATAAGGAAAGATATTCTGTTCAGACACTATTTCCTTGAAATCTGGAGAGCTTACTTATTCTTAGACTTTTGGACTGCTCCAGAACAATCCAGTACATATTTGACATTTATTCATACCTCTCTAAGGCTCTATCCACTGGGGAATTGGAATATTGTAACAGTTACAGCTCTTTCTAAGTTTCATACCTGTACAAAGGAAAAGGGAAAGCAAAACTAAGATTTAATTGTGCTATTGCCTGAGGCATTAAGGAATTTTGTTAAACACCAATTCATCATGCTCTAGTGCATGCTGAGCTGGGGGATAAGGCTCTTCTTCATGCCAGTGGTAAGTCTGTCTTTCTTCTCAAGCTTGACAAGCTTGGAAAAAAGTACTAATGCAAAAATTCAGAAGTTTCAGTTCAGTTGCTTTGAGGTAGCAAACATGAAAAGTACAGTTTGAGAAGCTTAAAGAAAGATCAGCTGAAGTTTTAGACTAGCTGCTCTGAAGAGAGCTTGAACTCTCAGAAAGGTTTGTGATGGTCTGGTCAGATGAGGGAAACACAGCAGCTTCTCTTCAGTGTTATATTAGTTTGAGTCAGTTTGAGTGTCTAACCCACAGTCACCCTGTGTCTGTACATAGTCTCAGGAATACATTTTCACTCAGTCATTGATAGCTCCCTCTACACAACAGAGGTGCTTAGGAGCAGATATACATGCAGTGCTTTAAGAAGTGTATTTTATTAAGATCTAATTAAGAAGTTACCACAGGTACATTACCAAAATTACTTTATAACAAACACAGTCCAAACACACTAGAACAAGAGCTGCTCTAGGTCTGGCTGCTGGGGCCAGGTAGGCACCAGGCTCTGCTCCCTGGCACAGCTTCCTCCCCAGTGGACTGTGCCACCCGTGTTTGGCTTCACAGGAAGCCTTCCCTTCCTCCCACCCCTCCCACCACCCAGCACAGCCTGCCCAGGTAGGTTGTTATGAGTCCATAGTGCATCCTTAGCTATCTCCCTCTGGAATCCTGAGTGAGCATGCAAAGGAAAGGGGACCTGCTAGACTTCACAGCCTGTGACTTCATTGCTGCTTTTTTAATTGCTTTTTCTTTCCTAATGCCATGTGATGAGGTTGGGAAACCAAGAGGAAGGACACATTGTGGGTTTCATTAATCCTTTCCCTTTGGAAAGCTGGGTATCAACTCTTCCTTACATTTCAGGCTCCATTTCCATCCAGGTACAGCAGGAACCCAATGGATTTAGGCAGAAGTGAGCATTTTCAGCAGTTTCTGGGTCTCAGACTATTGAAATGTTGATCCCTTTTATCTGAGAACAAACATCTTGTCTGTGCTTCTGAAATACAGCTGGGCTCTGTTACAAGCTCAGTGTGCTGCTCAGAGATGCCTTGCCAAGCTTTACATGCAGATCTTCTGTTGTTTCTGGTGCTGCTGAATAATTCTTCCTGTTTCTCTAGTTTCTTGTCTATGGATGAGCATCTTGGTGAAAAAGAAAATGTGTTGCTGTCTAAAACTCTGATCCTGCCAGATGAGGAATGCCTTTAATACTTAATAAATCATCACTACAACAAATGCTGAGGTTGCATGTACACGGTAGGACTAGAATTTAGCACATAACTCCTTGGTACTCACTAGGTAGTATCACACATGCTGCTGTTCTAAATCCAAATGCCTTCTGCTGCATCAGCAGCTTCCATAGCTCTTGTAGGAGGCTTTAATTTCTCTGGTGGAGGTCACTTGCCTTTATCCTGAAATCAGGCTCCTGGGAAATGATTATTTTTCCAGTCCTTGCCTAAAATTAATATTTCAATTTTTTACCAAATTTAATATTTAATTTAGAAACAAACACAATTAGAAATAAGTCCCCAATGCTATTCCTTCTCTAATAAACATCTGAACTTCCAGCATGGTGTCTTGTTCTCAGCTCTTGAATGTTGTCTTTGTCTGTAGTTCTTTGAGTTCTGCAGGGAGGGTATATCAGCTTCAGCTGAAAGCAGCAAAAGCACTTTTGTATGTTTTGCTTAATTGGAAGCCAGATGGTTATGAATTCTCTGCTGGGAGAGACACAATAATGAATGCCTTCCTGAGGGGCAGCTGAGCAGATTCCTTTTCCCTGAGTGACACAGTGAGTTGGTTGCACAGGACCTCCTCTGGCACCATTTGTGGCACAAGCAGAATCAGCCTGGTTTTGATTCCTGTCTTCAGATCAAATGCTTAAGTGATATAAGCAAAGTGATATATAAGTTCTATGGAATTTTAACACACTGCAACAAATCTCTTTATGATTATAATTTTTATTAAAAACTGAGTGTAATCAGAACTGGACATGTAACTTTTCAAGTTTGTATCTTCAAATAGCATCAGAATAATTCATGCAGATTATCTGACCTCAAATCTGTTTGTGATGGTTAATAAAATGTAAACACAGGCCTGAACTGTTTTCAAACTACTGTTTACACTTGTTCAGTTGACAGATTTTGTGAACAAGAGGGTATGAGAACAGTACCACTTTTTTGTGCTAAAAATGTCACTTTACATTATTTTAAATATTCATGTTATAGCACAATTTGTAACACTATGTCCTTTGTACTCAGTAAATGCAATCTACTAATATTGTTTTTCAGTAAGTATTTCCAATTACTTTGCTGTACTAATAAGTGCAGGAATATTCATAGAAGCAGTCATCATTATAACACATTTAATTTAGGGAAAACTAGTGTTCTTAACAGCTGCTCTTTTACTCTGTGATTAGACTACACACAAGTCTTAGGTTAAATTAATAAGGGAAAACTGCAATGTTCAGAAATTGACACCATGCAAGGCTCATCACATCCTCTTCTGTGCTGGTTTTAGGGACAAGCTATGTGGAAAAAATATGATTAATTAAGTAATCTTCCTTTTTTTTCTCCTTCTCATAAAATATCTTTGAACTCTTGGGCAGACCACCCAGATCCCGGCCCAGAGACATGCAGAACAGTTTTAGGGTGTGTTGTTATGTAAAGGGTACTTTTGTGGGATTAAGAAATGAAAAGAAGGTTTCTTAATTGTCCTGTGCTAGTTAGCAGCTGATGAATGAAAATCCTATTTGCACAGGATTGGCAGGATGACAATTCCAGCTCAGAGTCCTGGAGCCAGTGTATAACCTTTCAGTAAACTCCTTTCCCCTGAAGTGCAACAACATTTGCAAGGGGAAAAGGAAGAAAGCAAAGAAGAAAATAGTGAAGTCTTCAAATAGATCTGATCTAAAACCCAGAAGTGCATTTGCCTAGAAATAGCAATAACAACAATGACAATGGGGCTTGAACCAGGATTGTACAAATATGGCTGTGTATCAAGGGTACCAGCTAGCAATAACACTCATCACTTCCATGCTCTGAATACAAATTAGTATTTCCTGTACTGTTGTCATTACAAATCTCTTTTTTGTTTCAGGTATTACTTTCCCAAGCTCAGATATATTCTTAATTAAAATCAGGTAGAGAAAGACCCAGAACAAATAAAAAAGGCTTCAATAAGTGTAGCACTGAAGATTCTTCAGTAGGTTTAATTCAAGGGACTAATCAGCTGTTAAAGACAGAAGAGTGTAGCTTAAGTCCTTTAGTTTCATAAACTGAGTATCTTCAGAGCTTTACCATGGAATTAATTTGGCTTTGCTTGTGTTGTTTCAGCCAAATTACCAGTGAAATTAAGCACCCTTATAGATGAATCCCCACCCACTACAGAATTTTGCCAGATGTCTGTCAGCTACAAGACACCAGAGGCCATAAATATTCAGTATTACAATGTAACTTTTAGCTGGCTCTATCACTTTAATCTGTCAGACCAATCCTCACTGCGTCACTTTGTGAAAAGTCAACTCAGGAGTCTTTCATTTATATCTGTTTTAAGAGCTTGAGCCTGCAGAGTGACATATACCATCAACTCCCAGGAAGTCCTGGTGAATTGAGTCACTTTGTGCCCTTCAAGAATAGGTCCTAAATTGAGTTATTAGCTGTACAGTCATGGGGTACCTTACTTTGCTACCTGAAACAAGTTGCAAGAACAAGTTACTTGGCTTGAATCAATATTTCGGCCCAGGCAGCTTTAAGAAATCATCAGTCAGGGGACAAGCTCTTGGGGCACTGAGCCCTCCTGCTGCTGCTGACCTGGCTGGCTCTGGAGCTGCTCAGCCCTTCACTCTCTGACTCAGCACTGGCTGCATTCAGCCTTTGAGGGTCAGCAGCTGCCATTGCCTTCAAGGTTAACAGCCTAAAATTGCTGCTGAAACAGAAAAAGGCTGTCAGCCTTTGTCTCCCCATGCAATTGTAATGCAGCAGTTCTTGCTGTAGAAGTCATGAGTAGATCAGTCATGATTTTTCTCTACATTGTCTTCAAATGCCCTTGAAAACTTCCCAGTAAAGAGAAGAAGGGTGTGGGGTGGTAGGGTGGAGAAGGAGGAAGCTTGGCAAGAATTCCATGATGAACAGAAGGAAAATATGGGAATGGTGTTTATTTATGGTTAAGGGAAAAGAAAGTGGTGATAATTTTGCTAAACTGGTGAAAACTTATGAAATTAATTCAGTCACAATATCCTGGTGCATGGGAAGCCTCTGACACTGAGTTGACAGCTTAACAGAAGGAAGATGTGTCTTAATGAAACATATAAGAATGTAAATTTTTTATTGATGGATTCCCCTTTCAAATTCATAGGTGAATTATGAATGGCCTAGACCTCAATCACATAGAAAAGAGGAAATGAGCCTCCTCCCAAGAGTCTTACTTGTTTGGGCTGTGTGGGGTTTACTGCTCTTGTCTAAACGTGCCATTCAAGATATCCCAGGGGTATCTGAGGCATCCACATGCAGGTACTACACAGGAGCTAGGAAATATTTGAAAAGACAATTTACTGGCAGACATCTGTCTGAAATGTTTACTTTCATTGTAAGACTGCAACCAGAAAGCAATGGTCTATGGTGGAGCTGATCTCAGCCAAAAGCATATCATTTGGGATAAAAAAATGACACAGGTATGCAGCAACTGTCGACTCCTGGGCCTTCCTATTTCTTCCAGAACTTATTCTGAAATGTTACTTTTATTGCCCAAAGAAACTTAAATATGTGTATGAGAGAAGATATAACCAATGGCAAAGGAAGATTTTTGTTACTGTAGTTTGATTTCCCCTATGCTAGATGCTTTGCTGTCCCACGATTCC